TCCCTTTGTGGAACGCCTTTCCCATGGTGGGGGGGGGGGGGTAAGGGGGGTCCACGGAGAAGGGGTAGTTAGGGGGGTTTGGAAGGAAGGGAAGGGTACTATCAGGGGGGAAAGCGCCAAGCTAACACGACTATATAGCACTGGGAAGGGGTCAGGATAAGGATTTGGGATGGGACGGGGGAAAGGAATGGTGCCCAACCACTTGGGCAGTCGGGGATTGAACGCCGACCTGCATGAAGCGAGACCGTCGCTCTACCGTCCAGCCCAAGTGGTTGGACCAGGGAACAGTGAAACTGCCGCGAGGGTTAACAAGGGAAGAAAGGGGACAAGAAGGAATGCCTTATTCTATCATCTTATATCATCTTAATTCTATCTTATTATTGAACAAACTACAGGTCACAGCTTTCCTGTCATCTTTCGCAGATGACACAAAAAATCAACATGAAAAATTTGCTTCCGTAAAAGTCTTTGCAAAACTACAACACTGATTTGAATAAAGTTTTCGACTGGGCACCAGAATAACATGATGTTTATCAGTGAGCAATTCCAAGTATTCATGTATGATAAAAATGAGGATCTTAAACATAATACCGGGTACAAAACACCATCAGATCTGCCCAAAGTAGGAAAGCAACATATAGAGGATCTAGAAATAATGATGTCTGACGACCTAACTTTTAGGAAGCATAACCAAGCAAATATTGCGTCAGCTAGACAAATGATAGGATGGATTACGAGAATCTTAAAATCCAGAGATCCTATCACAATGGTCGTATTCTTCAAATCACTTGTGCTGTCCCGTCTTAAATACTGCTCAGTACTCACTCCCCTCTTCAGAGCAGGAGAGACTGCTGAAATAGAGGGAATACAGAGAACATATACGGAACGCAAAGACGCGATAAAGAACCTAAATTATTGGGTCTGTCTTACAGCTCTGAAAATGTACTCACTAGTAAGGAGACGAGAGAGATATCAAATAATATACACGTGGAAGACACTGGAGGGGCCAAGTACCAAATCTACACAGTAAAATAACAACGTACTGGAGTGAACGATATGGAAAAAAATGCAGAATAGAACCAGTGAAGAGCAGAGGTGCCATAGGCACAATCAGAGAACACTGTATGAACATCAGAGGTCCGCGGTTGTTCAACGTCCTCCCAGCGAGCATAAGAAATATTGCCGAAACAAAAAGAGTCTTCAAGTTAAAAAAGGACTCTTAACCAACCAGGCTGGAGTGGATATGGGGGCCTGCGGGCCGCTCCGAGCAACAGCCTGTCGGACCAAGCTCTCACAAGTGGAGCCTGGCCCGGGGCCGGGCTTGAGGAGTAGAACAACTCACAGAACCTCATCCAGACACACTCTAGGTGGCAGAGTCAAGGAGGTACGCTGGAGGCAGGGAGTAGGAAGAACGTGTTCAAGACATAAACACTAATAAACACAGGTGGAGTGTTGGGGGGAGGGCACTGCCTGGTGCCTCACTCCTCCCTCCCTCCAACACTAGCCCCCCCACCTCTTCCCTCCATCACTACCCTCTCTCGCTCCACCAGTAGTGCGCTCTCCACCACCATTCTCCGTGGTCTTACAGTCTCCGTGGTGTAGTGGTAAGACACTCGCCTGGCGTTCCGCGAGCGCTATGTCATGGGTTCGTATCCTGGCCGGGGAGGATTTACTGGGCGCAATTCCTTAACTGTAGCCTCTGTTTAACGCAACAGTAAAATGTGTACTTGGATGAAAAAACGATTCTTCGCGGCAGAGGATCGTATTCCAGGGACCATAGGATTAAGGACTTGCCCGAAACGCTACGCGTACTAGTGGCTGTACAAGAATGTAACAACTCTTGTATATATCTCAAATATCTCAAAATACCATTACTACCCCCTCCCACCACTACTGCAACCCCTCCCACTACATACGCCCCTTCCTATAAAAAATCAACTCTTCCCGCAGTTTGTTGCCAAGCTATATCCCACAACGCTACAGCGGCGACTCTTTTTCTCATCTTGACACAGTCGCTCGCTGTACACAAAGCCTCTCATGCTAGAGGCAAGATGAACCCTGCGGGCATTGCCTCCCTATCCCACTATGTGCAATATCCACATGCGCAGGGAGACTATCTTAGCGAATAGGATCTAAGACCTGAGAAGAGCATGTACCCTCCCCCTCTCTACGTCACCGATACTTTTTAAACAAATGTAACTTAGCCCAATCCCAAAGTGTGTGATGTTATTGTGACATTGCAATGTTAATACTGCTCCCGGTCTGAAACGCTACTGGTCTTGCCTCATTCTGGGAGCTGGCATTTTGTCGTGCCTCATTTGCTCACGGTAGCCCAGGGGCCATCCAGTGAGCGATGGTGGACCCCATGCCCATCCTGCGAGGGGTTGTGAAGCCCATGCTCGTCCTGTGAACATTCGTGCACCCCATTCAAATCCTATAAGTGGCAGTGGACCCCAAGCTCATCCTGTGAACAGTAGTGGACCCCATACCCATCCTGTGATCAGTAGTGGACCCCATACCCATCCTGTGAGCATTAGTGGACCCCATACCCATCCTGTGAGCATTAGTGGACCCATACCCATCCTGTGATCAGTAGTGGACCCCATACCCATCCTGTGAGCATTAGTGGACCCCATACCCATCCTGTGATCAGTAGTGGACCCCATACCCATCCTGTGAGCATTAGTGGACCCCCATACCCATCCTGTGAGCATTAGTGGACCCCATACCCATCCTGTGAGCATTAGTGGACCCCATACCCATCCTGCGAGCATTAGTGGACCCCATACCCATCCTGTGAGCATTAGTGGAAAAGGTTATAGAGGCGCATAATGGTCTCCGGAACTGAATCACGAAGTTCGTTTACCTAAGCAAATTAGAGTCCTGATAAGCTGGTGACATAGTTTGCTAACATGTACATCAACAGCCCATTCTCAGCCTTTATCAAACTACCCTAGCCGTGTTCCCAAGAGGCCCCTAACACAATGACTGAGAGTTATAGTTTAATTAGTTTATTATGTACCCCATACCCATCTTGTGCCTAAGAGACAGAAGTGTTTCAGTGCCATATAATGGGTCCAAGAACTAGACCACAACAAAGATACGAAATTAAGAGAAAAGGTAAAATAAATCAAGACAGCAGAGGACCTATTGGCTGACCTACGGGCTCCAGACATTGTGGAGAAATACCCGAGAGACCCACTGGAACATTATCTAAAACAGCGCAGTGTCAGACCACTGGAACATTATCTAAAACAGCGCAGTGTCAGACCACTGGAACATTATCTAACACAGCGCAGAGTGTCAGACCACTGGAACATTGTCTAACACAGCGCAGAGTGTCAGACCACTGGAACATTGTCTAACACAGCGCAGAGTGTCAGACCACTGGAACATTGTCTAACACAGCGCAGAGTGTCAGACCACTGGAACATTGTCTAACACAGCGCAGAGTGTCAGACCACTGGAACATTGTCTAACACAGCGCAGAGTGTCAGACCACAGGAACATTGTCTAACACAGCGCAGAGTGTCAGACCACAGGAACATTGTCTAACACAGCGCAGAGTGTCAGACCACAGGAACATTGTCTAACACAGCGCAGAGTGTCAGACCACAGGAACATTGTCTAACACAGCGCAGAGTGTCAGACCACTGGAACATTATCTAAAACAGGGCACACTTTCAGACCACTGGAACATTATCTAAAACAGGGCACACTTTCAGACCACTGGAACATTATCTAAAACAGGGCACACTTTCAGACCACTGGAACATTATCTAAAACAGGGCACACTTTCAGACCACTGGAACATTGTCTAACACACCGCAGTGTCAGACCACTGGAACATTGTCTAACACACCGCAGTGTCAGACCACTGGAACATTGTCTAACACAGCGCAGAGTGTCAGACCACTGGAACATTGTCTAACACACCGCAGTGTCAGACCACTGGAACATTGTCTAACACACCGCAGAGTTACGAAGCAAATAAGCTTACAACTGAGATTTAACAACGCAGAGGATTGATCAACACATTGGACATAATCTTATTGAAGCCAACATACGAGTGATAAATACTCAACCACCTCCAAAGCCTGAATGAGTGACAGAGGGGCCCGCCCGAAGCTTTGGACCAGACTGAAGAAACACAAAAAAGAACCAACGGAACTTTAGGCTACGCAAGTAAATCTTTACAGCAAAAGTAACCACGAATCATGCTTATTTCGATCGTCGTATGTTGGAAGGTGTTTGGATTCGTTTCATGAAGACGACTAAGACACAGACCATTTGGTAGCCGTTCAGAGTTAGCCATATATGCAGGATATCCACAGGAAACCTTGGGTTGGTCGATTGATTCGACAGCCTCGCTTTTTGCAGGGTCGGCGATCAAATCCTAGTGGTTGATAGGTATCGTTCCATCACTTCTTATCTTCATATCCCTTGCTCCTTATCCTCATATCCCTTGTTCCTTATTCACACATCTCTTGCTCTTTATCCTCATATCCCTTGCTCCTTATCCTCATATCCCTTGTTCCTTATTCACACATCTCTTGCTCTTTATCCTCATATCCCTTGCTCCTTATCCTCATATCCCAGCTCATTGTCCCACATATCCTTGCTGTGTACAATAGTCATACTGACACCGCGCCTCCTCATAAATACTTATACCTCAAAATAAGTTTTCAAAATAGCAAACTGCCTGACAATCTTTATCTCAAACAATTTGGGCCAATTTAACTTGACGATGACAATAAGCAATTATTTTTCCTTCCCTGGTGTCTTAATACATAGAACCGCTAACAAACAGCTCCACAATGAACACACAAACCCCCTTGCGTGTTTGCAATTGCATTGTTAGGGCTGCCGCGAGTCTTACTAGCTTGCAACTCTCCCTAAAGGCGAAACCTTTACATCTTTTTTCTTGAAGCACTTAATATGAGCATTTGCAACTTCTGCCATCAGCCTAAGACTGTTCACTTGTTCTTGTTCACTTGCAGAAGAAATAGCAGCTGCTACCAGCATGAGGGAGGGACAGCCGACACCCAATATCTTACCTATCATTAAGGACGGTTACGAGGCCGTCCACACCGCCCACCACACGCCCACGCAACCACTGTCTGCATTCCGCTCCGATTTGACGCAGGTAAGGACGGTTCTGAACCTATGCGCAGGTAGACAGGGGTTCTGAATCTATGCGCTGGTACACAGGGTTCTGAATCTATGCGCAGGTAGACAGGGGTTCTGAACCTATGCGCAGGTAGACAGGGGTTCTGAATCTATGCGCTGGTACACAGGGTTCTGAATCTATGCGCAGGTAGACAGGGGTTCTGAATCTATGCGCAGGTAGACAGGGGTTCTGAATCTATGCGCTGGTACACAGGGTTCTGAATCTATGCGCAGGTAGACAGGGGTTCTGAATCTATGCGCTGGTACACAGGGTTCTGAATCTATGCGCAGGTAGACAGGTTTCTCAATCTATACACAGGTAGAGACAGCTGTAAATCTCTACACAAGTAGGCACAATGCATATTTGTGTGTGATTTTTTTCCTGGTCGTTTAATCAAATCGACATTACCAAAGTCGTTACTTGTTTCGGAAACATAGTTAAGGACGTGATCAATAGTTTCAAGATGGTATTATGAGATTCCATCCAAGAGTTCCACAATGTCAACCTTAAAAAAAAAAGGGGTTTGGGTGGGAATTACACCCAATCTGATTTTAGAAAAATTATTTGAAAGTGATTTCCAATTGGGTTTGGTGTCGGCCTGAAGACCCATCAGTCTCTGAATGATTGTTAAGGCCATTACAATAGCTGAGTTTGCTATTGTTACGTGACACCCTTAAAGGATTCGAACCCAGGCCACTATGTATAGAAGGAGGTCTTCCCACTAACAGCACCAGCCCCGTGACCACTACATCGTTAGAATAACGTTATAACAGGGTTTTTTTCGCTACACATACACAGTGAAATTGGTATGGCAATTTTGTTGGGTTGCATAAGACCCTGGGTTCGATCCCCATCATCCTGTGCGCGCGTGCTTGCATGTGTATGTAGTTATTTACTATATGTAACTGCAGAGTCGAGCTATTAGCTCTTGGATCCCAGTTTTTCTAACCAATTTATTTTTCCTCTATTATGTCTACTACATATATTTCTATCTTAACACACCCACACATCCCCAGGAAACAGGCCGTAACAGCTGTCTAACTCCCAGGTACCTAATTTACTGCTAGGTGAACAGGGGTTCCAGGGGTAAATGAAACTCTGCCCATTTGTCTCTGCCTCTGCCGGGGATCGAACCCGGGCACTTTGGACTACGACCCCAGAGCGCTGTTAACTCAGCCGCGAGGCTATGGTGTGTGCGCGTGCGTGCGTGTGTGTATGTACGTGTGTGTGTGTGTTGGGAAACCAAACTAACAAATTCAAATTCAAATTTTTATTCAGGTAACCAGTTTTTCTCCCCCACAGGGTTCCGGCACGGACACATCTCTAGGTCACTCCTCACACCATCAACCCCACAGGACGAATTCCCGGGATCAACAGCACTATGAGCAACAGCAGCAACGGCACCACCAGCAACAGCAGCTGCAGCACCACCACCAGCAGCAGCAGCAGCAGCAGCAGCAGGCCCTGACGGCCCTCGCCTGAGGCTACATCAGCCCAGGAGAGCCGTGGAACGCACTTCACCAACACCGCAGATGATCCCTCTCTCACCTCACCGAACGATAACACGATTTGTGGGCATCGATGCTCTTGATAACGAGGCTTCTTGCTTCTCCACGTGGAAGTCAAGGCCTAAAATGAGTCTAACGACCACCTAACGACCTCCCCCAACGACCCTTTTCACTACTCAAGAGCCGAGGAGAGGCGACGCCAGCTGGCGGTCTCGGCTCTAGTGGTGATGATAGTATCTATAGAGCCACGAAATAAAATCCACAAGACATAATAATTGTTAATATTTCTGAGGGAAATGAAGAAATCCTTTGCCTGCTTCTTATCTTAGGGATTGGAACCCCCAACAAACTATAAAGACTCCCAATCGTCGAATCTTATGTCATTATCTCACTCTGGTAAACAAAACTTGTATATCGAATGAAAAAAAATGGAGAGGGAAGATATATGTATATTATTAGAAACACTAAACCTAAATCCTATAAAAATGTTTTTTGTGAAACTCGCGTCAACTCGGTGACTTTCTGACGAAATTAGGATGGCGAATTTTAAAGTTTAATCTGGAGAGCCTAGCGTGAACGCACTCTAGGTAGCGTAGTGTGTCCCAGCTATAGGTTGGCGATGAGCAGGCAATCATAGACACCTTTACCCATGTTGGCTCTTCAATTACAAGAGAAAACACACAACCAATATACCCCAGACACCTTTTCTTCAAGACCCACCATTGAAGATTTTTAAGATCGCTACTATGTCTCTCTCTCTTTCTCTATTATCTCAGGAAGTGAAAATTATTTCTGTGTCGTATGTCCAGAGCTCGTCTTAAGAAGCGAAGGGAACTAGTGAAAGCCTCAAGCCATTACGAGTATATAGCACTGGGAAGGGATAGGATAAGGATTTAGGATGGGACGGAAAGGAACGGAGGGGGTGGGTAAGGAATTGCAATTGATAGTTGTTCCATGTCTTCTTCAGGCTTCAGAAAGTAAAGGCGAGAACTTGGATTCGCCCAAGAGAGATCACATGTTGTTTGGTATCTTGGATACCATCCAAGAGGCTTTTCCTTCACCAGTGCAGTAAGAAAATACGGCTAGTTCTCTCTCTCTCTCTCTCTCTCACTCTCACTCACTCACTCCGAGAAAACATCCCACACGATCAAAGCCCGCGACTTCATATCCTAGTGTCCCCACAAGGACTATACATACCAGCATATATATATTAATATATAATATATATATATATTTCATAGTGCAAATATATACAGTATAAAATGCATGAGACAGTCTCTCTCTCTCTCACACACACATAGACTGTTGCACTGTTTGTTGCTGTCCCCCACTGGCTTGGGGGCATAATTTTTGGCCACGTTGATGCTTGTTGAGGCTACTTAATAATAATATTTACCGCCATGTTTGTAGGCTGCGTCCAACGCCATTAATTTGTTCTGCTACTGTTTTCCTCTGTTGTGTCTTGATGTCATTTACTTCTGTACATATGTAGTCAATTTTTATTCCCCCTCCCCACCTCCCATATTGAAGTACTTTTTGTAGTAACAGGAAGACTGTGAATCAGTCAATTATTTGCATAACACACGAATTATGCATAATATATAAAGTTGTACATAATAATTCCCCCCCCCCCGTATATCATTCTAGAGCGTAGATAATCAAGACAGTATGATATACATAGATATACATATATACATATAAGGTATATTGTTTCGCAAGACGAGTGCAGGTTCACTAACTAGCGAGTGACTTTGATTATTTGTTACTTGGGTAAAGTTAGTTGAGTGAAGACTCTTAACAAGCCCAGATGAGTGAAGCTGGATATCCTTTGTTAGCAGAGTAAAACTCATTTTTGTTAACTAGGTAAAACCACCATTTTATTAGCTGAGATAAAGAGACAACAGTTAGAGGAGATAATAGTCAGGGCCAATTCGAGAGGTTGGCACATTTGGGCCAAAATTGGTATGATGCTCAGTTTTCAACCAATGAATTCAGCTGAATCTTTTTTGCAACTTGCAACCCAATTCTACTGGGTTTTAACAATCCAGAAACAAAAGGGTATCGCCGCCCCCCCTTTTTTTGTAACTAACAATGCGTGTTAAAACTGTCGTTTAACCGGAGCCTGGCAGAGGCCTGACAGCTGAGTGAACAGCGCTTCGGATTCGTAGTCCTGAGGGGGGTTCGATCCCCGGTGGAGGCGGAAACAAATGGGCAGAGTTTCTTTCACCTCTGTTGGCACTGTTACCCAGTAGTAAATAGGTACCTGGGAGTTAGACAGCTGCAAGGGGATGCTTCCTAGGGGGTGTGCAACAAAAGGAGGTCTGGTCGAGGACCGGGCCGTGGGGACGCTAAGCCTTGAAATCATCTCAAGATAACGGAGGTGAGCGGACGTTATCAGCTAATAACGGTGACGCGACGTTGGTGTCGCTGTCATCCAACTAAATAGCTGTCAGCTCTTGTTAAGCAAGCACCCAGAAGCTTTCAGCTTTTGTCAATTCATTCAACTTTTAATTCAACAATTTCGGGAATGAGCTGGCTATGATACGTAATAAACTGTCCTGTGTTAGGAGACTGTTTGTGCCGGCACAAGGCACGACAGAGCTGCTACCGAATATGCTGCCACGAGGAGTAAATATATACTTTTACCACGAGTATATTTTGAGGTAGATTCACAGAGCCGTTTCGTACCCACACACTGACGAGTATCTTAATCTCCGATATCTCTCAACTAATAGATCGCATTTTTGTTTACAAATGGAACCCATTAAGAACAAGTAACGTTCGCGTTTTCTATGCGTGGGACTCCATAGGTTAGGTGGGATGAATGGGTTCGTGGGTAAATTGTTATAGGCTAAAAGGTCGAATTTTGTTACGAAGTGGCAGTAGGTCAAGCCACGACGTTCGTAGAGTTTAGTGAATGAAGCATAATTTTCGAGGCCACTAATGAGAGAAGAGACTCCGATCTCGTTAGTGAATACGAGCTTAAGTATTCGTAGAGAACAATATCTTCGAGAGGTTTCCGGGTCCACCTGAGGACAAGAGCTATAATCTTACCGGGTTCCACCCCCCGCCGTCATAATCCATTGAGCATTTCCCGACCTGCTTACGAAACCTTTACATCTTTCCTGGTCGTGGCTTAGCTTAAAATTTATTAAACGGGTTACGAGCCTCGAGGAACTCGCAAGCCAAGATTATTATTGCTCTAGAGTGCTTCAGAGGTTTTAAACTCTTTACTAAATACAAACCCAAGCTGCCAGGACTGAAGAAATATGTATAAATTTCGTAAAAGGACAGGCAAATGCTTGATAAATCCTTGCCCCTTGGTTACTGGATAAAATACACATCCACTGGTCTGTATATTGGTGTATAGTTGTATATAAGATTTTATAAATGGTCCACGATCCATGCCAATCGTCACTACATACTCATTAAGTCAAAATGTGAAATGATTTGGTAGCAACGCTTCCAGTGGGTCTCCTTGATTGGCCAGCTACGCGGAAATGTATATATATATATACCGCAATAGGAAACAGTGTTGTTGATCAAGCTACACTGGTTATCTGAAGATGCTGAGCTCTACAGCCCTCAGTACGTCTCCTTCTGAAGAGGATATACAGCAGTGTGGGGCCACGAAGCTGATCAAGGCATCAGCGCAAATTCAGAGTAGGGTTTAAAACCTGTGGAAAGTATGCAGCTCTTGACGTCATTTTGTAAACACCTAAACCTATCCTAAAATAACCTAACCTATCCTAAAATAACCTAACCTAACCTAAAATATCCTAACCTAATCTAACCTATCATAAAATAACCTCGCCTAACTTAAACGAGACAAGATATTATGGTTTGTAGATATGGTGTCAACAAGGTGTGTGACGTCAACATGACGTCACAAAGTTCACACCAGGACAGGTTTTAGACCCTACTCGTGGTTGTTTCACCAACTTCATCACACAGAACAAAGCTTATTTCCTTTCCCTCTTGCGACGTCGATTCCTAAGTGCTCAGTATTTTTGTTTGATGATTTAACCGACTCGTGGGATGGCAGGCAAAAAAACTTTTTTTCAGTTTAATTTCTACCATTGACGTGGCAATGCCATTATATATTGTTAAGCAGAACATCTGCACTATCTTCAGCCCTCCATGGGCAGGGTGAGAGATCTGAATGAGCCGATCAGGGAACTCTGAGCAGCCTAGTGTGCTCTGGATTGATTAACTTTGCTGTTGTTTTCCTTTGTGTGGCGACCTGGAGACAGTGGAACCATTTCTGTTCAAGTTCAAGTTCAAATATGTTTATTTGAGACAAGAAAATAAGATACATCTCAAAGGGAAAGAGTAGCTTAGGCTATTTCTACTCCCCCTATTTCTGTTTAATGTCGCAGGAATTATGTAGGCTACATCACCGACTACAGTATGGCTGTATTTGTCTACATGACGACTACAGCTGCCTGTGTTTACCTACATGACTACAGTTGCCTGTGTTTACCTACATGACGACTACAGCTAGTTTGCTCTGCTATACACACTTCCCACGCCAAAATGTCTGCGGTCGAGGATATCTTCTTAACTAGATATTCTTCCTACTTTATTTGGCAACGTAGAGATAACGGCACAGCGTAATGACACTGTTATCCGTTATCGTGCGTCACGCATGACGCGTGATATACCTGATATACCCAGATATAACAGATATACCTGTTATACTCTTCACGTATAGCCGTACGCTTGATCTTGCGTATATCGTGTCGAACCAGAGTGATATTTTGGTCAAAACAAATATATGTTTCACAGGGATATCGGCGGCTTGACATACACGCATTTATGACAAATTTTTTTTTTTGGGGTAGGGGTCGTGTCATGTTATGCTCTCATTGTTGACATTGATATTAGAGTCTACATAGTGTATGCGCGTGTGTCATGAGTCATATACACAGTAGATGGCCCAGTGTCATATTCCTGAGATCTCATTCATGTACATAATTAATACATAGGCTCATGATTATGTATGAAATGCTAGAAAGCACACACACACACACACACACACACACACACACACACACACACACACACACACACACACACACACACACACACACACACACACACTGTACAAGCAAGCAAGTTAGGACCAAAGTGGCTTTGGAATCAACACAACATGTCCGCTCTTCAATCCACACACACATAGCCTAAGATTTAGCGTCTTGAAAAAGCTTTTTAATTGCCATAGTTTTACTCTCCAGGTTGCCACCCCCCCTCCCCCCTTTTTCAGTCTTGCCATTCACACTTTTTTTCTTCGTCTTGGAAACCCTACTTCTTCTTCTCCCTCTCTCTCTCTCTCTCTCTTAGGTCTTCCGGTATTCACACTAGGGGGGACCCTCACTATCACAAGGTTGGGGGGGGGGGGGGGTTCACATACACGCGCTGGCTCGTGTCTTTATGTTCGGATCTCATTTTCACACGGTTGTAACCCATGTCACTTTCGCTTAGGGGACACCTCGTACACTCTCAAGGGGATTCGATTTGCTTTGATAGGGGGGGCCGTGATGTTCACAGGAGAGCCCTGACTTTGACAGGAGGGCCTTAACTTTGACAAGAGGGCCCCTGACTTTGACAAGAGCGCCCTAATTTTGACAGGAGGGCCGCTAACTTTGACAAAAGAACCCTGGTTTCCTCAATAAGCACTATCTAACTAATTCTGTTTAATATATATATATATATATATATATATATATATATATATATATATATATATATATATATATATATATATATATATATATATATAATTAGGCTTCATAATAATGATCAGTCATTATGATCATATAAATATAATGAGGTAATATCCTTACGTAAAATAGCAATTGCCCATCATTATAAGTATAATTTAGTTATCAAAGTTATAATTTTCATCCATAATTATCTCAATTAACTATTCCCTGATAAGCTTTAGTATTTTCTTGTTATTCCTTAAGAATACTTTTTCCTCAAGTTTCAAGAACGGAAATAAAATGTAACTGAATAATAGATTTGTTATGATAATATGATTCTTAAGTGTTTTTGTTTATGTGCTTGTAAGTTGTATAGCACTGTATTATCTGTGTATAATTTAGGCTTTTATTGTGTCAACTGTATTCTTAAAGGGTTTTAGTTGACTACTGTATTCTTGGTTATTCTTCTGAGTAGAGCTATTGTATGAGTCACTGTGAGGATACTTTGAGTCACTGTGAGTCACTGTGAGTCACTGTGACTCACTGTGACTCACTGTGAGTCCCCAAGGGGCTATCGTGAGTCACTGGGGACAGCAGACAGCTATTGTTACCTCATAACCCCCCCCCCCCTTATGCCTCATGCGACTTAGATTTGTTTTTGTTCCATTTGTTCCTCAAAAAATCATTCAAACATTAAAAAAAATCAATCACATACAGCATTTCCATATACGTGATTCTGCAAGTTAATTACCCACATAAAACACACAAAACACAGATTATATATATATATATATATATATATATATATATATATATATATATATATATATATATATATATATATATATATATATGTATGTATATGTATGTATATGTATGTGTGTATTGGCAAACATGGTCTATAAAACAGTGAAAATCAAATTGCAAATCAAATAGTACTGTTACATGAGGCGTTTGCTCCTGGTTTTGGGGAGCTACGTTGACACCACCGCTGGTCATCTCAACCCGCTCTGCTCGCGGCTCTGGCCAGGTACAACCAACCAGATTTTAATATTTGTTAAATAAATGAAATAAATCAATAAAGCCTGTCGTATTATTGACCCCTCACTGCCTGCTTCGTCGACGGTGGGGTAGAGGCTTCGTCTGGAGAAGCTATTGCCTTTCCTGTCCAATGACTTGGGCTGGACGGTATAGAGCGACGGTCTGGCTTCATGCGGGTCGGCGTTCAATCCCCCCCCCCGATCATCCACAAGTGGTTGGGCACCATTCCTATTCCCCCCCTCCCCCTCCCGTTCCATCCTAAATCCTTGTCCTGATCCGTTCCAAGTGCTATATAGTCGTAATGGCTTGGTGCTTTTCCGTGATATCCCTCCCTCCTTCACTCCCTTTGTTGACAGTGTGTGAGTGTAACTGTGGTTAGAATAACAGAGAGTTGGGACGATTATAATGGTATGAAAACACAAATTGCTCGACAGAATCAAAACAAAAGAGATAGTGAACTCAGCATGCTAACATTA